TACTAAATTCGTGAAAAAATATATAGAAACCATATGGTTGCAATGCAGGATGAAGGAACATATTTCTTACCACACCAGGCTGTGATTCGCGACTCAATCCTGACGACCAAATTAAGACTAGTTTTTGATGCTTCAGCAAAAACTACAGATATCAAAAGTTTGAACGACATAATGTGGGTTGAACCACGAGTTCAAAAAGATATTTTTGACATCATTGTCAAAAGGAGAAAATGGGAATTTGTCGTCTCAGCGGATAACGAAAAAATGTACCGTCAAATAAAAATAAATAATGATCAAAAATATCAATATATTTTCTGGAGAAATTCTCAAGAAGAAAATAATAAAAATTATAAATTAACTAAGTTCACTTACGGAACTTCCTCTGCACCATATTTGACTACCAGAGTTCTGGTAGATATTGCAGATAAATGTGAAAATAAAACTCTAAGTAAAATAATTAGGAATGATTTCTGGAATGATGACTGGAGCTGATTCGGTAGAAGAAGCCAATAAATTAATAAAGTTCATTTCACAACAATTACATAAGGTAGGATTCAAAACTTTAGGACTTAAATGGGAAGCTCAAAATGATTTATTTAGGTTTAAACTAAATTGCACAGAATCAAAACACACGAACAAACAGGTAGTGTCATCAACTATCCGTTAGGATGGTTGGCACCAGTTACTATTTTAGGAAAACTTTTCATTCAAAACCTTTGGAAAAATAAAAATGATTTGGATCAAGAATTATCAACTAAAGATAAAAATGATTGTGAAAAATACAAAGAACATTTATTATTTTCAGAAAGTATCAGAATCCCAAGATGGATTAATTCAAATAATTAATCGACCATGAAGATCCATGGATTTGTTGACGCCTCCAAAAAAGCATATGTAGCAGTAGTCTATGCTAAAGTACTTTATTAATAAAATATTGTCACTAAATCCATTTTTAGACAGAAATGGGGTACTAAGAGTGGGAGGAAGATTTCAAAACTCTAATGCAGAATTTGAAGTTAAACATCCAATCATTTTAGAAAAATGTTACTTAACAAGCTTATTAATAAAAAATTCTCACATGAAAGCATTTCATGGAGGGATAAACCTTATGCAAAACTATATCCAACGAAAATATTAGATTTTCGGGTTGAAAAATTCGTTAAAAAAGTATGTAAGAGAAGGTAGCCATTTACTTTAAGATGCGATTCTCATTTCACCTATTTAAGTCGAAGATATTTATAATTAAAATTAGTTTAGTTATGCAAAAACGCACGAAGGATCTTTTAAAATAGTTGCATCATGCCCCAGCTGTCGATTTATGCGACTGATTCTATAAAGACCTCTCTCACTTTTGAATAAAATATCGTTAAATCTTATGGGGGTACGCATCTTCACATACTATTGTATGGCTCTGTATCAATTTCTACATACTCGCTTTCGATACCTTTACATAGGATAAAAATTTCCTTTTATTGCTCTATTAACTTAAAAAAAAAACTTCACGGAGGTGAATAACTGGTTTGGACTTTTCCGATTTTGTTATTTTTCTGTGATACAAAAATAAATTAATTCTGTTTAAAGAAAAAGTCATTCCGATTTGGAATATCAATTTATTTAATATTCCTTACAAGACGTCGAATTTTTGGAGCAGCCCTGCCCAACAGATGTATTTATGGCTTTTAGGTTTAGGATGCATTGAATTGGTTTACAACCCCAAAGTTGTAAACTGCAGTATCCAAAACATACATAAGCTCCCTTGGGGCTTTCGGACTTCATTAACGCTAACGTTTAAGCTTAAGGCAGTCGTCGGTTTAGTAAAGGACCTCCCCCCTAGAAAGGGAATTTATTTTTGTCAAAGGGAAGTTTCACCACCTCAAAAAATTCATAATATTCAAAATGTCCACAATGAATAAATATTTTAGCTTGACTCATGTTAGCAAATTTAATACCTTTAGGTAATAATCATATTTTTTTTTTTAATAAAAGTAGAACATAATAATAATTTTAAAGAACACTTTTGCTTTATAAATAAAAGATTTATTTCATTGCGTTTTTAGTTAGCAATTTACGAGAAAGAAATATAAACATATTTCTTAAAATATAATTATGAAAGAATATTTGTTTGCATAAACGTGTCATCGATATCATTACGAAATGTGGCACAGTTTTCCGCACTTCATTCTATAAGCTTATATGTCTACAATTAAAATGCATGTTACGATTAAATGTGAATTAAGATGAGTGCACTTTCGAATGTCAAGTAAATTAGGATGAAGAAACAATAATAGTAACTTCCTTAATGGCCTTCTTGCCAGGGTTTTCATTCTGACTGTTTGGGGATGGGGATCTGCCTATAGTGTTTGCAGGTTCCAGTTCAGTTTTTAATCGTTTAGAGTTGTTTATTTCATGTATTGCGTCTTCAGAAGCCACATTTGGTGACGCACATCTCTTGGGCGCACTGTGTTCAATTATACTATCTGAAACATTATCAGATGTCTTAAGTAACTTATCTTCAGTTTGATTTGGTTGAATGGCAGACTGTAGCTCTTGCAACTTTTTCTTAAACTGAACGATTACAGTAGTCATGTTGTCGCATCCAGTTCCATCACCCATTGTATTCGGAGCTAAACAGTTATCAAAAAGCTAAAGTTTTCAAGGGTTATTAACACATATATATGTTAACAGTATATATATTTACCTCTTCGCAAATCGTTGACAATTTCTTATTACCTTGTAATCTGCAACGTACAAACTCTACGACTTCCTCACTGGACATATAATTCCATATACCATCACAGGCCAGTACCATAAACTCGTCCTCTGGGGTGATAATTAGCTTCTTGATGTCAGGTAGGGCAGATATCATTTGTTCCTCAGCTGGAAGGCTTACATTCGTTTTATAGGCATGGTCTCCAAGGGCACGAGACAAATTGAGGCCACCATTTACGCGTCCATCAAGTGTGACACGACCTCCTGCCTTTATTATGCGCGAGGCTTCTTCCTCATCTTCGGGCTTGTGGTCGATACTCATTTCAATAGCCTGCCCACTGCGTGAAATAACACATCGCGAATCCCCTGCGTTTGCCACGTAAAGGTCCCGACCTTGCAACAAACATACAACTGCAGTGCATCCACTATCCTTTCCAGGTTCCTCAATCATATTTGCGCAAAAATTGTCATTAGCCATCTGATCTTCATCAGTCTCTTCTTCGTCACTATCCTCATTACCCTGCGGAAAAGTTAGTTTTATTTTAAGTATGTATTGCTTAGCTAATTATATTATGTTAGGGTTCTAATAACTTACATCTTCGTCACCCTCATCATCATTTTCTGTGCAGTCAGAGCTTTCGGATGAAGTATTAGGACTCTTGACAATGTCATTTTCTTCATAGTCCGCATCATCGTCTGTGAACTCATCCTCTTGGGAGCTGTTTATATTCTTTTCAGATTCTTCGCTGGTAGTTGAGTTTGTGACCTCGTTTTTCGAGGATGTTCCAGATTGATGTAATTCGGTCATGTCGTTAGAACCAATCGCGAATAATTTACTATTATTAGAAGTCACCAACGTTTGCTTAAAATCTGTTCCATTCGATCCCTCATTTTGGTCATTACTGAAATCATCTTTTAAAGCAGCGTTATTGGCGGATGAATTGTTGATACTGCTAGCGTTATTACTAGCCGTCCCAACCATAGGATTTACTACATTGCTCGGATAATGAGCATTAACTACACCATCGGCGGATAGCGCAGCTGCAGCCGCTGCTGCGGAAGTGGAAGAACCATCTGGCTTTGCAGAGGGGTCCATTACAGCTTTATTAGTAGCTTCGGCAGCTAACGCTGCAGCTCGGCGCCCGCGAAAATATGAAGAGTGCATTTCAAAATGTTCTTTGTGATCAGAATTCTTAAAATCCAAATTTTCTCTTTGCGGAAGTCCTTTGTATTTTTCCAAAACTTTATTTAGGGGCAAATTGCTTTCCTCTTGCAATTCAGCTAAATCTTCGTCTTCGTAATCTTCCGCTTCAGCATCAATGAAGTTATGTTCTCCAGCCAATATTTTTAGTATACCGACTATTGATGGATTAAGTAGTGTTTTGTCAAATCCCAGAAATGCTTCCTTGAGTGCCACTTCAAATTGTCCATCTTTATAGGATTCAAGGTTTTTAAGAAATTCTGGTAACTTGTCAGCACAATATTGCGCTACCTCAGCTCCACCGTGTCCATCATACACGGCAAAAAACGATGTATTGTTGTCAAAATTTAAAATAGAGTTATGTGCATCCTAAAACATGACAAAATCTTAATACACCATTATGACAGGAATCACATCTTAATTTACCTCTTGGCTGTTCCGCCATCCCTGCATAGAGCTAGCTCCAACGGCTAGCAAGTCATTAAACTGATCAGTGGAAGTTTTATCCGTTTTTGGATGGGACAAATAGGCACCCATATTGTACAACTTAAAACCTTTTCAAATTATTATAAGCGGTTAATAACTCAATTGTCACGCTTCGTCCTTTATCACAGAATTAGCGGTAAAATATCGATCCTTACCAAGCGAAGCGTTATGATCATAAATTTCTCAGTTTAGGCGGTACTTGCATACATTTACGGTAGATTTTATTTCGTTGTTACAAACACTAGTTCATTATAAGTTTGTTTTAAAAAAAATTGAGTTAACGTTGATTACTTAAAATGTAACTCAAGGTAAAAAGAAGTATGGACTTTGGGAAACTAACTAGATATTTTAACATAAATAACAATGAAATCGAGCTAAATTTATTTACGAAATCTTCACGCTTTGTATATAATCAAATCGGAAATTTTCTGTTTTCTATATAAATATATATATGTATCGAATAGCGGGAAAATGTAGATAAAATGTTGTCGCATTTCGCTTATATCCGTTAATATGGCGACGGCTGATTAGGGACAAAAACGGAATGGTTGAAAAAGGAACACGGAGGAGAAACGTTTTTCCCATATACTAATTTATCATGTTTTGATGTTTCCATTATTTCCTTTGGAAGTCATGTGTGAAAATGGTGTTTAATGCGATCTCTAATTAGGACTCTGGTGCCGCCATCTGGATGATCGGTGATGAAGAACGTGAACCGTGATGTGGAACGTGTAGTTATTGTAATAATTCGTGATGCGTTAAAAGAAACAAGTAAATAAGTCACTGCTTACGGCTGTTGACCCGTATTTCGAACATATATCTGCTGGCGAGGTGCGTTTCTGCTATCAACATGAGATCGATGTAGTTTTCGTTCAAATAAGGGTGTATGGTGTGAAACATCGTTTACATCCCACCGGGATTCTCATAACATACATACTTTTTTGGACTGCTGCGATGCAAACTTCTGAATCAATACATTTCTTGCAATGTGTTTTTCTTTAATGACATAATTCACCATAGTTTGCAACAATCCATTTTTCATAATTGTGGCAGTATTGCGACGACTGGACTCTTCAATTGGAACATAAAAGAACCTCTCCATGGAAAGGTCCAGGACTATGAACACCTTTGTATCTTAAATTTCTTCATGTTCATTAATTGAACAGGGATACAGGCTTCATGTGGTTATTCGATACTGCGTTGTAGTATCGCCTTTGAGGAATGAAATGATCCGACTGGTCGTTGCTAACAACGTTGGTTACGAAATAAGATCCTTCGAAGGCTGGATATAATTTGTGGGTTTCTCCGGACTGCTGATCATCAGGAAAAAGTACTGGTTGTTTTTTAATTCATTTTACATGTGGCATTTGTTCAGCTGGTCGATGTTAGCATTAAAAATCGAACTCTTGTAGTCGTAGTCACCCCTGATATTAGGGGCCGCCAAATCCGCAGCCAAAGCATTGCAGTCAGTTACCACCAGAAATCCCTAACGCCGTAAGAGCTTGAATAGAAGCTATGCTGTATTAGAATACAGACATGAAACTTCCATTGTTTTCTGTAGTAAAACTACGACGATCACTTACTGCTTGCATCCGTGTAAACTTCGTGAAGTCATTATGCATCCTAAAAAGCTAAAACTGGTTGCGATATTATAGTCTGATCTAGCTTTTCCCTATTCCGAATGGGAATTCGTTCTGTGGTCTTTCGTAGTTACTAATACATACAGAGGTGGTCAAGAGTATTTACACAACGAGCTTTTTTTCAAATGAATTCACATTGAAAAAAAAAACTCGTTGTGTAAATACTTTTGACCACCTCTGTATAGATTTTACTTTCCAAGCTTAATCTCTTTTGAATGTGTCTTATTACCCAAAATCTTTGCTTTGGTCTGCTGGATATAAAGTGGTCGTATTTCCTGTACCAACTCGTTTAGCAAAACCAGGTCATCGTCAATCGTTTTTTTATGGTATTTTTTGCAAAATTTCGTGATTTATTATGAGGGTATAATTACAGTAGCATTATTCAAAGTACTGGCCATCGTTATCTACAACTTTTTGCCATCTTTCTGGTAAAGTTCGAATACCGCGTCGAAAAAATTCTTTCGATTCGATGAATGAATCGATCCAATTTTTGGTCATGTCGTTGTTTTCGCAGTGCTGCGCCATGGATCGGAACAAATGATAATATGGCAGGTGGGGCAGAACTTCCCATTTCAGCGTTTCCAAATAAGTTGTCCAATGTCCGGTAAATATGGCGGGTGGGGCAGAACTTCCCATTTCAGCGTTTCCAAATAAGTTTTCACGACTTTCGCAACATGGGGTCTTTCATTGTTATGTAGCAAAATTACTTTATCGTGACGATCTTTATATTGTGCCCGCTTTTCCTGCAATGCTTCGTTCAAACGCATCAATTGTCGTCTGTATACGTCACCAGTGATGGTTTCACCCGGTTGAAGCAGTTCATAATAAATAACGCAGTTCATCCCACCAAATGCACAGTAAAATCTTCTGATGTCGATGCATGACCGGGTAAGCCCCACGATTTTCTGCGTTTCGGATTGTCATAGAGTACCCACTTTTCGTCGCCAGTGACTGTTCGATGCAAAAATCCCTTCCTCATCTGCCGTTGAAGAAGAATCTCACAGGTGGTTAAATGCCGTTGAATGTCCCTTGGCTTCAATTCATATGGAACCCACGTTCCCTATTTTTGTACCATTCCTATGGCTTTGAGGCGTTTTCCGACCGTCGAAAAGTCGACTCCAAGTGATGTGGACAACTACAGAAGTGTTTGGCACGGGTCTTCATCGAGCAACGCCACCAAATCTTCATCTTCGATTTTTCGGTTGTCCAGGACGTTCCTTGTCTTCCAATTCAAAATTTCCCACTTTTAAACCGCGCAATCTGCATGTTTGCTCAGCGAGAGCATATTCACCGTATACTTCCACTAAAAAAAAGATAACTTTCCGCGGCACTTTTCTTCATGTTAAAATAATGAAATAACACTCCCCGCAAAAACGATTTTTCAGACACAAACTTCGACATGTTTGATACTGCAAAACAATAGCTATGAACACAATAAGGCAATGTCATATAGTGGTGAAGATGCGCTATGTCAGTAGCTTCCAGGAGAGTATTTACATTTGTCTGTGTGACTATGAATATTTGGCTAGCGACATCTTTCGTAAAACGCTACGAATTAATAACAACATCTAGTAAATAAATCAACATAGCTTTTCTGGTTCTGGGGCTTCAACGGGTATTCTTGTCCAGAACGTGTCTCCAGAATTGGCATTTTATATCGCTTTCTAACCGTGACTGCATTGAGAGTTTTGCTGGCATAGCCAAACGCTAATTGGTAATGACGTCCCAAACTCGGCTTAGTCGTTTATACCTCGATGTTCATAGTAGTGCCAGTTTTATAAAGTAATTTGAATACGATTTCAATACCTCGCTCACCTGGTGGCGCTTGGATGTACTAACGTCAACGTTGTATTGAAGTATACATTTTATAAAGTTGCAACCATTATCGAGGCCCCATTAATTCTTGAGTTGGAATCCTTATATCACAGAATGTGCCATCGCGCACAGTTTAAATTCGTACGTTAACATCCTTAAGATACAATTTGCTTATAGACTCCTTTCATTAGACTATCGATTCACCAAATCCTAGTAAATGGTTTATGGATATTATCACGTCTTCTGATTGGCAGCAATATGTAGAAATACTCGCTAATCGTTTCGTTACCTTTTTAATTCCCATTGAGCATCAGGTGCGTTTGCAAAGCTTGGAAAATCTTGTAACAGGAAGCTCTTTAACTGACCCCACTTGTGATATTCATACTGTGCATTTACCCATTCCTTGGGAATGGTTGCTCAGCAAGACAAGACTGTTCCATTGGTCCAATCGTATATGGTTTGCAAGTGCTCGATATTCGTCCTTAACTGTTGTAATGTTATGTTGGCTTTTATAGGATCATAGTCATGCAGCAATTACATCCATTATGATGGTGAGAAAAAAAAGAGTACTCTACGGGTAACGGGTATTAGATTCGTTGAAAAGTAAGTAACAGGCGTTTCCAATAGGCGTTAACAATAACAATAGCCGAGTTGAATTGGCCATGTCAGTCTGCCCCTCCGTCTGTCTGTACGTCCGTATGAACGTCGAGATCTCAGGAACTATAAAAGCTACAAAGTTGAGATTAGGCATGCAGATTTCAAAGACGTAGACACAGCGCAAGTTTTTTAAATGATGTTGCCACGCCCACAAAGCGCACATGGGCGTGACACCAAAAATTTTGAAAAATATTAATTTTTTTATTTTCTTATTTTTTTTTGTGCAATTTTTATCGATATTCCAGAAAATTATGAAATTTCTCGTTCGCACATCAACTAGCTGAGTAACGGTTATCTGATAGTCGGAGAACTCGACTCCATTCTCTCTTGTTTAAAATGAAGCCTAATCAAGCATTTCATAATGCGGGAGTGGACTATTGTGGGCCATTCTACTCTAAGAGCAAAGGCTTACACTAGATTCGTTGCGTTTAGTGTTGCCTATAAAGTATGTTATTGATCGGGATACTTGTCCTGGGGATGACTACAAGATGAAATCGTTAATGCGCCAAACTAGTGATGGCTTGAACTGTTGCCTATAAAGTATGCTATTGAACGGGATACTTGTCTATACCCGTTACTCAGTTAGTGGAAGTGCAAACGATAAATTTCAAATTTTTTGGTATATTGTAGAAATTGAGGGAAAAAATAATTTAATACAAAATGGCATCAAAATTATTTAAAAGTGTGGGCGTTTTGTTTTGTGCGGTTTGTGGGCGTGGCAAAAAGTTTTTCTGTCAATATATAGAAATTTACAAGATCCATATATAGAAAAATAAAAAAATATCAAGTGTGGGCGTAGCAGATTTTGGCTGTTTGTGGGCGTTAAAGCGGGCGTGGCAACATTTGGACGTCAACGTCTAAGTCTCTGTAAGCTACGTGCTTAATCTCTACATTCTAGCTTTTGTAGTTCCTGAGATCGAGGCCTTCATTCGGACAGACGGACGCACTGACGGACAGACGGTTATGGCCAGATCGACTCGGCTATAAATCCTGATTAAGAATATATATACTTTATATGGTCGGAAACGTTTTCTTCTGCCTGTTAAAAACTTTTCAACGAATCTACTTTTCGGCCCTTTTACTCTACGAGTAACGGTTTTAAAAATGGAGCAGCATGAACAATTTTATTTAAATAAATCGAGCAAAAAAAAAATACACAACAAAAATAAATTAAAATATAAATTAAAATAAATAATAAAAATTTTTATAGTTATTTTTCTAGATGTCTTCAAAGCCCACTACCAGCACTAAGCTCAGCCAAATGGTTTTCTTCCTGATGGTAAATGAACCTAATAAGATCTAATTGATTTAATTTTAATATTAATAGCATTTTTATTTAATAGAAGGAGAATTGGCCGAGCTCAGCCAACGTGTTCGGGCCATGGAAAGCGATATGGAAGCAAACGCAATGCAGCTGGCGGAGACCACAAACCAAGTTGCGAAGATGACGGCTATGCTGTGGATGTGGCGTTCCCAGTCGCTTCGGATGAGGGCTTGTTAGCTTTAGAGATAAAAAGGGCTTAAAAAATCAGGGTCCAAATAACACGACTTAAGTAAAGTATTTATAGTCTAAATGATCGTTAAATGGATTCTGTTTTAATTTTTTTTTTCAGAGTGAAGCAATAACAGATCTCTTAAGGCGCAACAATTGCCCAAAACAATCAAGAGCGTTGGGGCCGAAGAGATCTTGTGTGCGCACAACATATACGGTCTTAACAGGAAAAAGTCTTTAAAAGCATTTCCAAAGTTCTTCTCTGTTTTGATTGGTATGTATATTTGTAATTTTGAAAATATACTATTTAAATATTTTTTTTACAGACAGCATAAGTTTGTTGGAAGGGCAGCAGGCAGCGGAGCAAGGCCTGGCCCACGCACTTAAATGCGTCAAAAATAACGCAAACAAAAAACTAAAAAAAATGTATATTAATTTAAAAAATAAATAAAAACTAAACTCAAACTTCTTTATTTACATTGATTTTTTCATTTTTTTTGTTTACATTGTTTTTCACACATGCCAGTGCGTGGGCCAAGATCTTCTCCGCTGGCTGCTGGACTTCTAATGTGCTTATGCTATCTGTAAAGAAATATATTTAAATAATATATCTGTAAAATTACAAATATACCTACCAACGATATCGGAAAAGAAATTGGGATATGTTGTTGTAGGCGCACAAGAGCGATCCCGTCAAAACGCACTTGATTACCTTGGGCAATGGTTACGCTTTAAAATATTGCTTCCATCTGAAAGAAAAAAATAAGAACACAGAATCAATTTCACGATTACTTAGACTATAAATACTTTACTTACGTAGCGTTCCTTTGACCCTGAGTTTATGTTCTGAAGCTACAGGGTTCTCTTCCGATGCGACTGGGAAACCCACTTCCATAGTCACACCCTTCGACTTCCCCTTAAAAAAAAACCTCCAACAAGGCCGTCATCCTTGCAACCTGGTTCGTGGTTTCTGCCAACTGCTTCTTGGTCTCCGCCAGCTGCTTCGTGTTTTTAATTAATAATTATAATTTTAATTTTTTATAATTTTATAATTATAATAAAACCAACATCATAATTACATTCCATTGTTTTTTTTTTTGTATATTTCATTCTTTATATGTATGTTACCTCTTAGCATTTCACATATCTTGCGCTTTACATATGATGTACATATATTTTATAGACTCTTCGAAAAATCATGTAGTTTGGAATGCAATCAGCTATGCTAATTTAACAATGCGAAACACTTACCGGTTTTATATAATATATTTCACGTTGAAAATTTTGTAAACACCACTTGTCAGGTTCTACAATTGAATGCAAATGCAAAAAGAAAGGGGTGACAGCAAACGAAACCGAAAATTCTGACTTGCGCGTGGCAGGATATTTCCGCACATAATTAAACACGGACGCATTGTCGTTGTCTATAGCGACCGTTTAATTTCTTACAAAATTTAACATCCTTCAATCAACAAATATAAATTAAATATAGACTTAAAATATGTAAATACCAATTATTAAAACGGTATTCAGAAGTCTATACACAGCGTTTTTTTCTTGACTCTGATTTTGTCTCCTCTCATCACTCACTCTCATTTTCGGTCACTGCTCTGAACTACTTCGAAAAAAAAAACAACAAATATGAACTGTGGGCATAGGCGGCGTTGATTTTTAAAGCCACGATAGAATTCGATTTGACTTCTGTGTTCGAAACTTTACTAGAAAAAGCCTTTGAGATTTGCTTTTGTTTTTTCGAACTCTCGCGAGGAAATTTTGCTGTCGAGGAATTTTGTTACTGAAGGTACACAAGTGCAAAAAAAAATTATTCTTTATTTAACACTAATTTTTATTGTTTTTAATTTATTTTAAGACTAAACAATAATTTCTTTATTAACTTATATCAGACCTAAGGCGTCATTCTGACGCTGCTGCTTCTCTGCCGAGTTTTTGTGCTCCATCGATGTCATTGGTCGTTGTCGTTGTCGCTGTCGCCGAAGGTGTTTCGCGCTGATCGGCATTGGCTGCCGGTTGATGAAATGTGATTCCTCGCTGTGGAGTTTCGAGGTGGCGTTTGGTGATTGGCTTCTTTGGCTGCGCTGACGCGGCGCTGGTCTTGCTCATTGGTCTCCAGAGATTTGCACGTTTGGCAATCGTGGCTTGGTGGCTCGTCAGCATAACTTCCCACAGGTTATTGACGTCTTGGTGTCACATGTACAGCGATGGTGCTTTATCGATCTCACTGTGACCTGGTTTGGAATGTGCAGACTCGGCTCACGTGGCTATCTGCACAAGTTGCACTTTTCATGTCCCACGGTTATTGACTTGGGAAAGCGCTAGATTGGCGAATTCCGGGCTTATCAATATGTAAAACAACAACGCCCTATGTCTGGGCGTGTGGCAATATTGTTGTTGTTATCTTGCGCGTGTGGCGTTGTTGTTGTTGGGACTTGACATGTCAGGCCTTAACTTTTCCCCCTTTAAGTGCGAACGTCCTCGGTCGCTACGTACAATAGGACTGGCTCTTGATTATGTGTTGCATTGGGAGGCAGGTTGGCGATAGTTACTTCGCGTCTTCTCGTTAGGATTCTAATCTGTTAAGATTAGTAGCAGAACTGTTAGCAGAGTAAGGCTCAATGTTCTATGTTTATGTATTCTCCTAGCTTCTTCAGTCTGAGTGTGTTACTTATGTTGAGCTCGTTGATCATCTGCAGATAGAGTACCTTGTCAACTTAATTTTGCTACGATACTAGTTGGAAGAGGGGAGCTTCTAGTTCCTAGTTCTGCCACAAAGATTTCTTCTGATCTGTATATAGATTTCCCGATCTTGACCGTAGAGTTCCGGTATTGGATAACGTATGATCCTCTCAACTCTACTACTTTCTCATCCATACATTCTTCATGCTCTGGGATATGTTGGTTATTAATTGTGATGCATTCTGGTTTCTCCATTTTAAGAAGCGCTGTTATGCAAGTATCGTTTCTTAGGTCTAGTATATTATCTAAGTTGCTAATTGTTTTTTCGTTGTTTTTGACAGGGGTTTAGTTTTTGATGTTTAATGTCGGCTATTGTTTAGTATTATTTGACCGCTCTAACTTCTTTTGTCCTACAGGAATCTTCGCTTATTGTTGGTAAACTTATAATGTAGATTAAATCTATACCATTTGAGGCTAGTTTTATTTCAGCAAATTCCAGTAATTCTTCAATATTGTAAAATATTCTGTTTTTTTTTTAGTTTGTTCTACTATACCTGTTTCTATTGCTGATAAAATAAAAGAATTTGCTGTATTTGATTTTGCCCATGTTATGGCATATAATATGTTTGTTACTTCTTCTTTGATAAGTTGTATTTTATATTTTAAACTATTGGCATGTTGGTTATTTTGTTTCATTGGAGCTTTGAATGTATTTTGAAATTGTGTTAGTAACGTTGTTGATTTATTATTCATTATTAATTAATAATAATTAATAATTAATTATTATTTATTAATCTGTTGATTGTGACCTGTCTATTATTATTTTCTAGCTGCTCATTGATTTTTCCTTGCAATACTTCGTGGTCGTGGTGGTCCGATAACATCGATCCTCGTTTAGCCCTATGAGAGGGTTTTAACCTCTGTAGGTCTCGTTTAATTCGCAGGGGCTCGTTGAGGAGATATGGGTGTAGGGGGTGGGATATGGGTAGGGATTTTAATTATTCTTCCACGGTGCTGTAAGTATCGTCTTACTTGGTGAGGTTGAACAAATGTATGATTTTGAAGGTGCCATCTTGTTTGGCTGCTGGTCCCGTGTCGATTGAAATGAGTTGCGAATTCAAATAGTCGAGGACCGTCGTCATCCCCAAACATGTTGGTAAAAAAAAACTGTAAGTTAAGTTCGTATATTATTTTTATGTATAGTCCTTCCTGACTGTGTTTCAACTGTTGAGTTTCTGTCCTCCGCGACAGTTTCCGTCCTATACCGAGGCGTCAATTTTGTTCCTAATCTTTTGTCTATTCTCACGTAAATAGTGTCCACTGTTTCCTATGCCCTCGGCTGTTCTTTATTTTGCTTATGGTAACCTAGGTCTGTCGTCTGTTTTTTTTGGATCCTGTCCTTAATTTCGTGTCTTTTTCCCTGTATCGTTTCTGGTTTGTCTTGTAGTGTACTTCTAAAGAATACGTCGATTGGTTTCTGAATGTATTGAATTATTGTATTCCTGTATTGCTCCAAAAAGGCATACCAAATGCTATTAGCATTTCTCTTAATGGGTCTTTAATATCCTCGGATGCATGTTCAGCTTCTGTTTTACTAAAGACGATTATATCGTCTATATAGACGTAGCAGATTTTATTCGTGTGTTCTCTCAAAATATCATCGAGCGCTCTTTGGAATATGGAGTGGGAGCTTTTGGGGCCGAATGGTAGTCTAGTAAATTCGTATTTACCACCATACACGGCAAATGCGGTTTTTTCTATATCGGACTCTTTCAGACGTATTTGTTGATTATTGTTGCCTAATTGGGCTATTATTCTTCCTATTTCGGGTATGGGATATCTATCGGACACGGTGACATTATTGATTTTCCTATAGACAATTACTAGTCGATAATTTTTTGGTTCGGACGGAGCGGATTTTTTTCGGAAAGACCCATACCGGGGCATTGTACGGTGACCGTGATGGTCTAATAATGCCCTCATCGAGCATCTCCTTGATTTGCCTCTCGACCTCTTTTCGGAGGGAGGCGGGGGAATGGATAGTGTTTCCCATAGACTGGGGTGTCCTCCCCTATTACCTTAGTAGTATAGGTAAGTTTTGTATCTGGGTCTGCAAATAACTCGCCATGCTGCTTGGCAAGCTGGCTCAAAGTTTCTTTTTGGGTTTCTGTCATATGGTCGGAATATATCCCTATAGAATTTACGGCTTGTACCGATAGTTGGTAAATTCTTTATTTATAACCCTTTTCTATGGTTAATATGTCGTCTATTACAGCTCCTGTATTCTTCATCGTGTCGTTCCCCAATATGCCATGGAATGTTTTGAGTAGAAAAAATATTATTGGTTTGTTCTTTAAATTGAATAAGTTTAGGGTGGTATGGTGGATAATTTTAATATTTCCGCCTACTGAATTCGCGAAAAATGGTGTTTTGTTTAGTTGTGGGCTTTTTACTAGTGCAGGTTGAATATAATTTTGGTTGGATCCAGTATTAGTGAAGGATCTACTTCCATTGGAA